TCTCTCTCTCTCTCTCTCTCTCTCTCTCTCTCTCTCTCTCTCTCTCTCTCTCTCTCTCTCTCTCTCTCTCTCTCTCTCTCTCTTTGTCTCCCTCTTTTTCCCTTTATTTCTCTCTCATGGCGATGGAGGAGCATGTGTTTGTTGTCGCGTTGGTGGCCTTGACCGTGGAGTCACTTGATTGAGGTCGCCGGGAATGAGAAGCATGTCGTCGTGTTCGAGAATCCGTCGCAACGTATTGTGGAATGATTCTTGCTCGGAGGCAGTGAGCAGCCGGTCCCTAGGGTCAATGATGTATGCGATCCTTGCCATTGGAGCAGGCACTGAAGGCAGCGAAAAGAGAAACAAAACAGTGCGCAGAAAGAGAAGTTAGGACACTCTTTGTCTTCTTCTGTCTTCGTCTCTTTGTTTCTCTCTTTGTTGCATCGAGTCTCATTGTGGTAGCAGTCTTGGCGAGTTGTCGTAGTTGTTGCGCCGCTGTTGAAGCTCCTGCTGTTGCTCATGTCGGACGGCCGAACGAGGTTGGATGTTGGAGGAAGGAAACTGCCCTTCGGACGATGTCTGCCCTGTAGATTTGGAAGGGAGGTAGCTGACATTGTGCTTCGTGATGATGGACGGTGATGAGATCGCTAAGGTATTCCCAAGTTCGGGGAGAGTGGGGAATGTTGTACATGGAGATAGTGTGGCGGGAAGCTAGTATGTCGTGGATCATTGCTGTTGCATGTGTACATCCCGATGGTTCGAGTGGTTTCCACCATTGAGGGTCTGTTTCACGAGTTGGTAGGAGAAGGGGGGGTGGTGAGGGTTGTGCTGAAGTGATGAAGGTATATTTGTGGTAGGCGTCGAGTATGCGATCGTGTCGGTACTTTGCGAGGTCTGTGTGAGATCCAGTAGATCGGTAATGGTTGCGTTGGAGTAGTTGCAAGAGAAATGTTTTGGAGCGGGTGAATGTTGTATTTGTAGAGGAATGAGGCGGCGAACGATTCAGTTCTTGTTTGTGTTTGTGTTTGTATGAAGCGAAGAAGGTGTAAAGGGAGGGGGAGAAAGCAGCATGATCCGTTAGGAGGAAGTCCTCCCAAAGAATTTGGTCAATGATGTGTTCTATTGTGTCAGGATGGAGCACGTGGTGCCACCCGTTCCATCTGTTGTAGTCTTGGGGGTCGTTCTCTGGAGTAGTTTGTGATTGGTGATGCGGTCGAAGGGGTGTGTGAATTGTGGAAGGTGTTGTGATAGTTGCAAGTGTGTTTGTTGCAACAGGGAGCGGAATGTCTAGCTGGCTGAGAGTAACGTCATCTAGGCCATAGTTCTGAAGAAGAGATGGATCAGTGAGTAGAGATGATGAAGGAGATGTAGATTGAAGTGGGGTAGTTAAGGGAGCCGTGGGTGATGGAGGTGGAGGTGTATGTGGTGAAGATTGTGTGGCAACTGGAGATGTGGATGTACGAGTAGGAGGTGGAGTTGTGGTCGTTGAGTCGCCATGTTTGAGAGGAAGAGTTTTAGTTTTTTTGGTCGGCGGCGATGTTGTCGAAGTACCTGCACATAGAATGATGCAAAGAGGGGAAGAACCATGCGAGTACTATGCTAGGATTTCTTTGTAGACAATGTTTGTTGATTGGTCAGCTTCGCTTGGAAGGGCAAAACGAATATGGGATGGGTCTCCGATACGAGAGGCAGCAACGTAGAGTTGGCCGTGGGCGAAGGCGTGCTGTTGAAGGTCAATCGAAGCGTGTTTGATGGACTGGCCTTCGGATTTGTTGATAGTTATTGCAAATGCAGGCCGGACAGGGAATTGTCTTCTTTGCCAAGGGAAAGGGCTGCTTTGATTAGTGACAGCCAACAAAATGCGTGGAAGGAGAACTGGTTGTAGTGAAGGAAGGGTGCATGCATGTAGGAGCCTATTGTTGGTAATGTCATCAACTATCAAGCGTGTTCCGTTGCATAAACTATTTCGCATAGCAATATTTCGTAGGACAATAACGGGTGCCCCTTTTTTCATGCGGAGAATGTGTGGTGGCAGGGAGGGAAGGTTGAGGGTGTTGAGAGTATCTGCAGAGACGTCGGGATAGTTGTCATTCGGGAGGAGAGTATCAACACTTAGAGATGTGATTAGAGGGCCTGGAAATTGGTTCAATATGATATCGTTGAGCGTGGCGACCGTTTTGTTTTTGGGCGCCAGGATGAGGCGTTCAGCGAGCCATTGAGGGTTGTTTGAATTTGTTGAGAGGGCACGAAAGGTCCATCCATTCAGCTTTGCCGTTCCTCCATGAAGCCACAGTTGAGGAGGGAGTTCGACGGTGTTCGGTGTTGTGTTATGTGGGGGCAGAAGCTTGCCATTGCCGAGACGCAGCAACCATGCGGCGTAGTCATGTGCTTCGGTGGTGTTGGTTCGAGTGAGTACACGCATGTTTTCTGAAAGGTGCATTGTATCAAAGCAGAGCCACAGTTTAGAGGACTTTATGCACGCGTCAATTGTTTGTGCACGGGTCCCTTTTGTGATGACAGGGAGGATTTGTCGGAAGTCACCCCCTAGAACGGGAATTCCCCCCCCAAATGGTTGGTCGGATGAACAAATATCTTGTAAAGTTCTATCCAATGCTTCTATGTGGTACCTATGCATCATTGGGGCCTCGTCCCAAACGATGGCAGTGGCCATTCTTATGAGTTGTGCCAAGGCGCTTTGTTTGGGAATGTCAAGGGTCGATGTCTCAGTAAGTGTGAGCAGCGCTTTGAAGCGAGAGTGAAAAGTACGGCCACCATCTAAAAGCGTGGCCGCGATGCCGCTAGATGCGACTGCGAGTGCAATTTGGTCATGGAGGCGTATGTGTGCCAGTATGGTGTTGATGCAG